ACTTGCAGGAAAACAAACCACAAAGTAAAATAATGCATCCGATGAATCTTGGCTCTCAGCTCAAGGGAAGAGGTGGGAACCCCCTGAGCCCTGTTAAGGCTTGGAAAGTGCTTGTCTGTCACAAAGTGTCTCTCTGAAACAGCTCCGATGTTGCTCTGAGCCAAATGGACTGTAGTGCAAGGAAACACTGATCAAACCTGATACCCTTGTGAGCAAGGCTGCTTTCCAAGTCTCAGGTGGTACCAAGCTGCATGCACTGAGATCAGCCCTACGTCTGAAATACCTGTGCTTCCAGGCACTCAGGTGTCTGTCTCTGGCCAGTGCTGACCTCCAGGGCAGGGTGTTAGTGATGAACTGCAGGACAGAGTCATGAGACTCTTGGCTTAGCAATATGCTTGTACTCTGATAACTATTTAAAATATCCTGAGAGCAAATTGATAGTCTTTATCTAGTCAGACCTCAAAAGTGACATGCCAGTTACCTGAGTAGATCCTGTGTTGTTGCTGGAAGTGCAGAATTGAGGCGTGGACCAGTCAAGATGTGCAAGTTGCATTGGAATCAGGGGGCTTTTAATCCATCAGTGCAAGACTTGTTCTATGATACCAACGAACTAAGAATCCATGCTTGTGTGATGAACAGGTGGCATCTTTACTCCTCCATATAATCACAGAATTACAGAATGGCTGGGGTTGGAAGGCTCCTCTGGAGATCACCTAGTCCAACCCCCTGCTCCAGCAGGGACACCCAGAGCACGTGGCACAGGGTGGGATCCAGGCGGGTTTGGAAGATCTCCAGAGAAGGAGACTCCCCAGCCTCTCTGGGCAGCCTGTTCCAGGGCTCTGTCACCCTCACAGTCAGGAAGTTCTTCCTCACATGGAGAGGGACCTGCCTGTGTTTCAACTTGTCTCCATTACCCCTTGTCCTGTCACTGGCCACCACCGAGAAGAGTTTGGCTCCATCCTCCCTACATCCTCCCCTCAGGTACTTGAACATGTTGATCAGATCCCTCAATCTCCACACTAAACAGGCCCAGCTCGCTTAGTCTTTCTTCATACGATAGATGCTCCCGTCCCTTAATCATCTCTGTCACTCTATGCTGGACCCTCTCTAGAAGCTCCACGTCCATCTTGTACTGAGGTGTCCAGACCTGCACCCAATACTCCAGGTGCGGCCTCACCAGATCTGAGTAGAGGGGCAGGATCCCCTCCCGTGACCTCTTGGCCACGCTCCTCCTGATGCTGCCAGGATCCCATTGGCCTTCAGCAGGTCAACCCCTAATCTGTCCTGGTGCCTGGGGTTATTCCTCCCCAGGTGCAGGACCCTGCACTTGTCCTTGTTGAACCTCATGAGGTTCCTCTCTGCCCAACTCTCCATCCTGTCCAGGTTCCTCCCAAGGGCAGCGCAGCCCCTGGGAGTGTCGGCCACTCCTCCCAGTTTGGTGTCATCTGCAAACTTGCTGAGGGAGCCCTCGGTGTCCTCGTCCAAGTCATTGATGAACAAGTTGAACAGTACTGGACCCAGTACTGACCCCTGCAAGACACCCCTGGCCACAGGCCTCCAACCAGACTCGGCCCCATTTATCACCACCCTCTGAGCTCTGCCATATAAAAAAGCAAGCAGACTTGCTTCTGATTTGAGTTTAGTCT